AATTATTGAAATATTTTTTATAAGAAATTTTTTGTATGATTTTTTATTCTTTAAAAGTAAGTTCATTACTTTTTTTTTATAAATAGTAAATACAAGTTTATGAGGATGTAAAAACTAGATGTATAGATGCCATTTTAAATTTGATTAAAAGATTTAAGATATATTTATCTCAGAACAATACTATATCTTGTGGGATTGATCATGTCAAATTTGGATACCAAGTATATATGTAATTACTTAATTATTATTTATTAAAAAATATTGGATAAATAATGTTTTAGTAGTAGATGAATATTCCAGGTTGTTCCATATTTATATTATATTATTGATGTAAAAACCTAAAGTAAGATAGAATTGTGGGAGTTTTTATTATATACATTAGAATTAGATTCATATTTTGAGAATCCTTGGCTTTAAAAAAAATTATCAAAGAACTTGAAGCAAACTTGTAGAATTTGTTTGAGGCTTATTTTAGAAAGATTTTAAGAGTCTGCATACTTAATGCTCATATCCAGATTTCACATAGCCTTTGGATTGGTTGAAATAAACTTTTTCACAAAATATTTTATTTAAAAATACTGTAATTACATCCATTTAATAAATGTGATGATTGTAGAGTGTTATTAGGATCAAAAAAAGTTGGAGTAAAGTCAACTTCATTATTATAAAGAAAGTATTTGAACAATCTATGTCTTCATGCTATAAAAAACCATGAGCCTTAAAATGAGCTTTAAAACAAGAAAAAGATTTTTTGGAATTAAATTTTTACTAAAAAATCTATTTTTCTAATAATAGATCTATTGAATCTAGTATTAACTTATTTTTATTTTTTTGATAATTAATAATTGATATTCCATGTCTATTGTTGTTTTCTAATGTACTGTGTTGTATTTGGTTAAAGCTTCTTATACCAAGTCGAATTTACTAACTTGAGTATTGAAAGCATAGATGTAAAGATTTTATTCACAAAATTTTGTCAATTGCCAAATTTTATAATTTTTTTGTATAAAGACTCTTTAAAGAAAAGATTGTTGCTCTTAGCAATAATATGCTCATAAATAAAGTGACAAGGCTAAAATAGAATAATTTGCTAAGAAATTATGGCTAGAGTACTTAATAGGAAGTAGTGGAATCTTTTAAGGTATAACTTGAGGAAATACTTATGTTATTGTTAGTGTAATAGGCCATGTGATCTTATTTTCAAATTGAGTTTTTTTTAATATGGAATTTGTAGTTGAGTTGGATGATAGATTGATGTATTAGATCAAAAACATTATAAAATTTGTGTAAATTTGGATATTATAATATAATTAATTTTAAGAATAGAGATTTTTCTTAAATCATATTATCTATATTAAAGATGACAATATGGCTTGAAAACATTTGATGAATTTTGAGATCATATAAGTCATATTTTTTTACATCAATACAATTGTTGTGGCGACTGAAATTACATTTTAAACTTTTGAAATCAAACTTTATTCATTTTTATTTTTTTTAAGAAGATAAAAAAATGTTGAATAATCAAAGACCTTTAAATGTAAGAGATTTAGATAAGTACTAGTCTATAGCTGATAAGATATTATAGTTTTTAATTTTTTTTATAAAGCTAAGATTTTGTAGATATTATATAGTTGCAATTGTTTTATTTTTAAAATAGTTTTTTAAATTTGTAGTTTTTAGCATGCTCCAAGAAAATTCAACTACAATTTTATTCTTGTATCCAACAACCTTGTTTTCAGCTAGGTTGTAGGAATTGTTTACATAATATTCGATACTTGAATTAAAAAAACTTCTTGAAGTTCTTTGAGATAAAATCACAACTATTTTTAGAAAAAATAATGTCTTTTTATTTGATTGACTCCCAAGAAGAAATCTATATTGGATAAAATTTAATAGTACTTTTTATTTCTTTTGTAAAAAATATATACATGTATAACTTGAATAGTTGTAACTAATAAAATAAAATAAAAAACACTACTAAAGGAATATTTATTCATTGGAAAACATAAATATTTATATATTAATATTAAAACCTTAGTTGCATGTGTTATTGGATAAATATGATATTTTAATTTTGATTTTTTAATAAATATGTAACATTTACAAATGGAAAGGTTAAATTAAATTAAAGGTAAAATAGCCACTATGTGAATATTAAGCATGGTATTAAAATATCTAATATTAATATGTCCAAGGTGACAATGTCATTTTATAGTTTTGGTTGCTTACTTTGCTGAAATCATAGCTTTATAAGTCAAAGTAGAAGATTTGATTCCAATTCTTAAAGTATATAAACTTTCTTATCTTTTAAATATAATAGGTCATTAAAATTTGGAATAGAATGATGTGGGCGTAAAAATGCATTGATCATGTTTTAAAATAATAACATTGTTGCCTATTGTTGTGATTTGAGCCATAAAAAGAAGATTTTCATCCAAATCAAAAACATAAAAAATATCCTAAACTATAAGAGTCTAATTTATTGAGATTTAAATAAGAAAAAAATCAAATGTAAATGCTTCATGAGTAGTATTTATATCTCAAATGATCATTTTAGATATTTAAAAATATTAGAAATTATAAAATAATATCTTATTAGAAGTCATATACTGATTAGCTCCAAAGTCCAAGAATCAAAATAAAAAGTATTGAAACTTTTACTTATGGTGCTAAATATATATATATATATATATATATATATATATATAAATGACAAAAAAATTGGTGTAAAGTTGGAAAGATAGACTTTTGTAATCACATTTTATTTTTTTATAGCTTGAGGCATTATGACTAGATATGCTACAATAGTAGTATATAATAGAAGTAAATTGAAAGTTGTATATTGACTTTAAAGTCAAATTATTCTAGTAAGAAGGATAATTGGTACTTAGATAAAGAATTCTAGGAATACTCAAAGATGATCTATGTGAAGTTAGTTTTATAACCTTACCTTAAAAATAAAAAGTAATTTTAGATTTTTATTAGAGAATTTATAAAAAGATAAAAGTATAACTAACTATGGTAGCTTCTTATTAAGTAGGTTGTTATAATTCTAAGAATTTGTTATCAATATCAACATTGGTATTAATACTTAAAGGGATAAGAAGAATTAGGTAGAAATAAAAGTAAAATAAATTAATATTATCTTACATATAAGCTTCTTATAAGCTTTGTAGTGAATATTTTGGCCATATGTCACATGTATTGGCTATTTATAGTAGAATTTGGCCATGTAGGATATATGTTGGAAACTTGCCTTATAAGTTAGACGTGTCTCTCACAAGTTAAATTTGTATCAGATGACCTATAGAACATTGCTATGTTGATCTTTAGTTAGACAGTATAAATAGAGGCAAGAGTAAGTTTTACCTCACTCTTGTCAATGCTATTCTTATATTCTTCTCTAAGCTCAAGAATCTTTAGTTTTATTATATTTGAAAATAATCATTTTAATTTTTATCTTATATCTATTTTTTATTTTTTTTTTATTTTTTGAGTATGACAAGAATGTATTTCTTCTATAGAGTTTTATTATAATTCACGTCCTTGATAAAATTAGATGATGTTGTCAGATGTAGATATTGTCATATAGCATAGTTTTTTGTGTAGGTGAATTTGACTATCTTTGTTGGATTTTCATAAATTGTTTTTGGTATAATTTCTTCTTTTTTTGAAGTATTGAAGAGATGTATGTCAATTGAGGTTTTTCTTTACAATAGAGAAGTACATCAAAGTAGGCTTTTGAATCCTTCAATTATCAAGTTGTAAGATCAATCATATAAAAAAATCAAGGCAAAACGTCTATGCCATTGACAAAAATCAATGGTTTAAACAAAATAAGCAACATCTTTGTTTAAAACATCTTTGTTTATTAAAATAGCTCAATTATTTTTAATTTTTTAATAAGCTATAAATTTTATAATATATTTGATAAATATATATTATATATTTAATTCTTAGATTATTATATAAATTTTTAAATAAAATTAGAATTATACAAATACCACTATAATTTTTGCTACAACCACCATAACTTGCCATCTATTACATGCTATCATAATTTTTGCTAATGTCACCACAAACTATTGTAAACTTATATTGTGCACCACAATGCACTTTATAGAATATTGATATTTTATGTTAACATTTGCATACATTTAATATTTCATAAAATACATTGTAGTGCATAATCCAACTTTAGGACAATTTGTAGTGTCATTATTAAAAACTACAATGAAATATAATGGATGGCAAGTTGTAGTGGCATTAGCAACAATCTAATTTTATTATAATTGATAATATATTATTATTTTTAGATTTTTTATTTGATTTTTTTAAATAATAAAAAATTTCCATTGCCTTTAAATATTCAAAATTTGAACAAAAAATTAAGCCTTCATGACATCTTTACTTTAAATAACTCTAATAATAACTCTAACAATAAAAAAACTTGTATGAAATATTTTATCATTGACATAATCAAGCACAAATCAGTTCACATATATGAAGCCTAATTAGCTAGGTTGAATAGGAAAAATATAGAATTACAAATTCAAAACTTTGATTTTTCACAGTGAATAGAGAGTAAATATTTAAAGGCAAAGAGTAAATGTATTTTTAAAATATCATTGGTCTTAACATTAAAAATAAAATAAATATGAATATAAAAATCTTTCTTTTTAAGTCCTCATTCCATTCCTAAAAACCTTCTTAAGTACTTCTAAATTGAAAAACTCTTGTGCAATCATTAGCCAATGTTCAACAATGTGCTATCTCAATAGAATTGACAAAATCCTGGAGGTAAAAAACCAATCTAACTTTTATGCTTTGGGAATAAATCCAATCGTCCCGGGCAATCGATTTCTAGTTCTATATCACCATGCGTTGAAATGAAGCAATATAAACATTTTCAGTTTATCCAATTTAGAAGCACCAGGCTTCTAAAACGACATGAACAGGGCCCTTCCAGACCAAGCTTCATTCCCCAAAACTAAAACTACTCACCCACACTTCGTGTGGAAATGCTGCCAGGTACACAACCAGTCAGTGTTTCAGTGGATCGTTTCGACCTCGGCTTGCAGCTTTTGAGACCATTTCTTCAAAGGCTTTCCTCCTTAAGGTACTGAGGGGTTCCCAAAGACTGCGTCTCTTCATCCTCCTCCTCACACATTTTCGAAGAGTCGAGGACCTCTGTTTTCAGTCACCATTCGCAACCAATTTTCACATTGTATTAATAGGTACACTCAACTGTCTAGGATCATTAGGAGCCCATCTGTAACGGAAACTCGTGGTTCCCACTCACAGGATGTGTGCTAGATTGAGTAACTTATGAGTGGTGTTCGTCATGCAAGCAAAGATTTGGAATTGTGTGATCGCTTATTGCAGTCACAAAACTACTCCATACTCTCGTTTCGATAGCTTTCCGAAAACCTGGTTGAAGGGGTTAGGTATCTCCAGAATGATACAATGCGAGATGTCACAACGGCAATGGTTTGGTCACCAGATAGAGGTTGAGGATTCTAGGAGCAAAGAAAGATGACATTGATGGAAATCATGGATCTCAGCTCGGAGGTTGCTATGGATGATTCTTACGGATTCTCGGTGGAGTGTGTTTCTGGTTTCAAGCACCAGGACACCTTACTTCCTGTCCACAATGAATGTGACTTAGACTCCGATTTGTGGAGCGACCTCCCTCGGCATTTGATAGAAAAGGTATGAAGAAAGAAAACCTTCAGCTGAATATGCCAATCACCTACCATGGCAAAGCAGAGATAAATACAACACCGGCTATCGTGGATCACTGGGGGTCAGCGAGAGCTCGAGTTTCGTTCGTAGTTGGCATCATATCGCTACGTCATATTTTTCTCCTTCTATCATACATATGTAAATTTTAGATTCTACTCTTCGAGATTGTAAAGTCACTCAAGAAACCTACGATTGAATTGGTTGGTCTACAAATTTTATGTTGTTCTTCAATTTGAGTAGTTCTGCAATCCGTTCGAGGCCTCTCCGACTCTGAAAAAGTGGATATGGATGCACAGATCTTAGCCTGGCTGCCCATCCCTAGCTACTTACGCTTTCGCAGGGTGTGCAAGACCTGGAACAAGTTGCTACAATCCCCAGGTTTCTTGCGAGAATGCCACGATGTGCCTTCACAGGGATCGTGGTTCCTCATGTTCAAGAATGACCACTACCGGGAGGCGGCCACATACAACCCCTCCCTTGATTGCTGGCATCCCATCCCGCTAGTGATCACCTCCGCGCCAGGTCAAATCAGTTTCCACGTCGCTGCATCGGAAGGGCTCCTGTGCTACTACGCTGCGGAATGCGACAACGTCGTGGTGTGCAATCCCCTCACTAGGTGTTGGCGAAAGCTACCGCCAACGCTGCGGGTTCAGTTCTTTCAACCAGTAGGCATGGTGAAGGAGCGCACCACAGAATCATACAAGGTCGTCGTCGCGGGTATTTGGGCCACATACGGCGCTTGCTACCCGATAGCGGAAGTATACGACTCCACAACAAATTCATGGAGCATAACATCCAACACGCCCCCGAATTTCCCCTTGCACCCACCCGGCATCCTCTGCAGCAACACCCTCTACTGGCGGTGTCACGAGCCCCACGGTCTTGTCACTTACGACTTGCAGGAACAGGCATGGAGCCAGATCCATGCGCCGCTGCCGCAGTCGTTCGAGAGCTACGGCCTGGTCGAATCTGGGGGCAACATCTTCGTCATCGGCCGGCAGGAAGAACCAACCGGGAAATGCGTCTGCATTTTCCAATTGCGGTCGACGCAACTGACATGGGAAGAGGTGGACCGCATGCCAGGAGCGCTGTTGGAAGAGTTTCTAAGGAACGCAGCGCAAGACGCGTATTTCCGGTGCATCGGGCATAGCGATCAGGTTCTGATCAGCATGTGTGGGCGCAACATGCCGCAACTGTTGTATGATGTAAGGAAGAAGCGCTGGCACCGGCTGCCGAGGTGCCCCATGCCGGAGCATCGCATGGTGGACGGGTTCTCCTTCGAACCGCGTCTGGGTGCTTCTGTGTGAGCTCCACGCTGCTAGCACCACAACTCCTGCCTTGATGTTGCCACAGTTCCTCGCCCCATCTCGCTCACTTTTGCCTGACCAGGCCACCTTTCCTTCACAAAACTTTATGAAGAAAATAAGATATTCAATATTTGACACTAAGGGGAACTTTATACTTAGAAGATCATTTTGATAGGTCATTGTTTAAAAAATTTATTTCTTGCTTAGTGAAGAATTCTCTTTATTTGGAAATTTTATTCTTTGGATAAAGGATAAAGTGAGAAAAGGACATAGAATAGACTTAATAATCTTGTCAAAGAATATAACCAAATCCAATCTATGCAGAAGTTGATATCAATTGTATTCTTGTCATTACAATTCTAAATCCATTCACAATTTTCAAACTAAATTCTTTTTGGTTTACTCACCATTACTACAAAAATCTTGCTTAGTTTCTTATCTTCTACTTAATAATATTCTTAAACTAAGCAGATAGTCTTTCTTCACTAAAGATTTGTTAAGGGATATTTTCTTCTTCTTCTTGCAACCTTCAAAAAGGTAACAAAAGAGAATGGATATGCTTTGGAATCTAAACTTAGAAAACATAATCATATACTTAAAATAAATTGAAGGCTCACAAAAGCTTAAATCACATGATTGCAGATTATGTCACTATGCTGATTAGATTTTCACCACTCCAATTGATCTTCTTCCAACAAAGAAATAGACTTTTTATTAGGATGGCCAATTTCACTCAACTTCCAAAGGATCCTTGAGCACAACTTGCATTCAAAAACTCAATGATTTGCAAAATTTTACAATTGACACTACAAATAGTATTTTATTGTTTTCTTCATTGTTGTAAGATCTAAGATATCTGATGATGATAGTTATATTTTATTATTTATAAAATCTCAACTCAAACCTCTTTTTTCTACTACTTCCAAATAAGAAGCAAAAGGAGAGGCTTAAGTAAGAGAAAATAACAAAACATAACATATAAAAAGGATTGTACAAACTTACAAACATGAACAATGATGTTCGAGGATATTAATACAACCGAGGTATCGTTCAGGACCAAGTATGTAGCCTGAATTCTAGAATCTCGGATTGTCTGCTACGACTATCATCTACATGGACAATGAGCTAGTGATGGATGTTCTAACACCCTCCCTAGCTACGAGATCATCCACTGGAAAAACTTAGAAGAAACAGGCTTCCTATCCTTCTTGAACTTGTCTATTTTTCTCATGTGCTTATAGTGGAGCTTCTGCGGTGTTCAGAAATGGAACTCATAGAATTTTTTATAGGGGTCCTTCCATTTGCTCTTGTAAGTGCCTTCCCTCAGTTCGCAAGTTTCTCTTCATACAATGTTGTGTGTTGGTTAATCTTGTCTGTGTTGGCATTAATAACCTTAGAACAAAGTCCAGTGCATTGTGAGCAGGATTGTTCACTGTTGAATGTAGACGAAAAGCCCTCAGATTGTGATGATGAGTTTTTTGAGATGGGGTCGCAGGAATCTTGTTCTGCTGCAAAATTTTCCTACTTGAGTTTCAAAGGGGAGGTTATAGATTGGTCTAAGAACATCGATATTTTGCCTGAAGAGGAGAATATCCAGAGTCGTGAGATTCTTTGGATTGATTCTAGCTGGATGTGTTTGTTGCTGCAAAACGATTTCGCGGAAGATGAAAGGATGCAGATTTTGAACAATGTCGTGCTTCGAGAAGATGGAGGAGCAGCTGATCGAATTTCAGTGGTAGTTGTTTTGATACATATTGTTAAAGATAATTTTTGGGATCTAGCAAGTATTGATTTTATAAAATATAAGATGTTGTAAAGAATTTTGTGTCTGAGGAAACAATTTGCCATGAAATTGTGGGAGATCTTAGAATTGCAGACTTGTATTTTTGTAATTTTTCAATTGCTGCAATCCATGAGAAAGTTATCACTTTGTTGGAACCGTTGGCTGTTCGAGGATAATAGTTTAGAAGAAAGAGAGGAGACTACTAATGTAACTACAGAATGGGGTTTAATGGTAGAGGCATACCGTTATGAGCACAGACAGAAGAAGTTGGTTGATGAGATTTTTCCATAAAATTTTAAATCTGAGCTTGTTTGATAGAGAGAATATTTAGACTGGATTTAATTTTTTCAAATAAGCCACATCTTAGTGGCTTGGTGAACATGTTAGCTACCAACTCCAATTAGGGCACATAAATCAATCTAATTTCTCCCATTTCTTTTTTCTCTCTTGTGAAATAATGATAGGTAGCTATGTGTTTTGTATGTGGATTAATATCAAGATTTGTTGTTATTTTGATACTTCCTTCATTGTCACAATAGATAGGTATTGGTTTTTGTATTTCTAGTCCAAAATCCTTTGTAAGCTTATTTAATTAGGCTAATTCTTTGGTTGTAGTGGACAAGCCCATGTACTAAGCTTCTAAAGAAGAAAGGGCTATTATAGGTTTTCTCTTTAAGAGCCAAGTTATTAGACTTCCCTCTAACATGAAGATAAATCCAATTGTTGATCTATCATTAGATAAGTCTCATGCTCAATCTATGTCAACATATTGTGAAAATGTTATTGTTAAATTTTTAGAATAAAAAATATCATAATCCAATGTTCTTACAATATATCTTAAAATATATTTTATTGTTGTTAGATGAAGGATTTGTAGTCTCATCATGAATCTATTCATTATTTTGAATGAATAAAATACATTTGGGCATAAATGATTAAATTTTATTAATTTCTCCACTATAGATCTATAATATATAGGGTCAACTATGTCTTCATACACATCAATTGTGAATTTCAGCTCCTCTACTATTGGTATAAAAACAGCTTGACATCCTTTAAGACCAAAGTATTAAGTGACTTGAAGAACATAGCTTCTTTGTATCATAAATAATCCTCATAGAACTATAGTGATTTTAGCCCTGTGGTAGAGAATAAGGTTATTTTTTCCTAGTTGTGACATTTCAAATCTTGACTCTAGCTGTGTTTTAAACCACTTGATTTATTTAATGTAATTTCCTATAAGAGAAGATCGTCTACATAAAAGACTAAAAAAAGGCTTTTGTACTCATGATATTATATATATATATATATATATATATATATATATAATTTATAATTCTCTTTTCTTTTAATAAATCCATGATTGCATAAGAAGGAGTCAATTTTATCATACCATACTTTTAATACTTATCTTAAACCATAGAGAGCTTTATAAAGACAACATATTAGATGTTCTTATCCATATTTTTCAAATCCTTGTGGTTGTGTAATATATATATGTTTCTTGAGATCACCATGGAAAAATGCCATTTTTACATCTATGTGATAGAATTGCTATTTATTTTATGCAAAAAGAGCTAATAGCATTTTTATAGTGCATTATTGAACAATAAGAACAAAGGTTTTCTTATAATCTATATCTTCTTTCTATTAAAAATCTCATAGTACAAGTTGTGATTTCTTCTTTCATAATATTCTATTAGCCTTCATTTTAGCTTCATATATCTACTTGGTTAAAATTGCATGATGTCTAAGTAGAAGAGTTATAAGTATTTAGGTTTTATTTGCATGGATTGACTTGATTTCTTCGTATATAGATACTTGCCATCTTTCATCATGTATTGCATCTTGAAAGGTAGTTGGTTCAATAAGTAGATCCATTAGTCCACAAAAGTAATCATATAACCAAGTTGGTTTTTTTTATATACATCAGATAGATTGTATAGAGGTTTCATTGCTTGTGAATCCATGGGATTCAAATAATTGTATTAAGTTTTTATATTCAAAATCATAAGTAGAGCAATCATTAGGAACATCTTGAGTGGGCCAATCGTGAACAATAATAAAATCAATTATCAAAGATGAGAAGTTACCTTGGAAGATGATATAATTTTCTAAATTGTCAAGCTACTATAAAATAACAAAAGTATTGGTTGAGTCTTTATTTAATAGTGGCTCAAAGTCATTCGACATAAGTAGTACAATATCTAATTTATTATATGTTTGTCGTACTTTGATAGAGATGTTATATATGGATAAAAGTGTATTACTTGGTTTATCAAAATCAGATGTACTATTGAGTATAGTAACTAAGCCTATTGATAATTAATATAGACCATGATCTGCTTGCTTTAAAAAATTTAATCTAAGCTCTTCAAATCATTTAGTGTTTAAAATAGATGTATTATGATTTAGCTTGATGAGCCTCGTCTCATCAAAGAGGACATCTTTTGTGACAAGGACCTTCTTATGGTATAGCAAGTATATGTAGTAAGGTTTTGAATTGTTATCAAAACCAAGATATAGTCTAAGAATAGACTTGAATTTAAACTTATGCTACTGAGTATCATCTCATTTGACAAAGCTAAGGCAACCAAAGATTTTCATTTCATTAAAGTCGAATTTGTTGTCAGCAAACACTTTGTATAGTATTCTCTTATTATTTGTTTTTGTTGGGCTAACATTCATAAAGAAGGTCTTTGTGTAGAGAGCCTCTATTCATAAGAATAATGGAATGTTGCCTCCTAATAGCATAGTTTTTAGTTTATTCAATACTAATTAGTTTTTTTTCTTTGACACTCCATTTTGTTGGAGTGTGCGAGCTACACTTAGCTCCTTTATAACACCATGGGTGTCCAGATAAGCTATAAATTTTGTAAAGATGAATTTATTACCTCTAATAGATCTTAAGTAGAAAATTTGATGGAATATATGTTTTTTTGTCATAATATAAAATGTATTAAACATGTCTTGAGATTAATCCTTGGTTTTCATAAAATATATCCACAAGTATCTACTAAAATTATTAGTAAAAAGTATAAAATATCTAAAGTGTCCTAAAGATTCAATAGGAAGAGTCCACATACGTCAATGTGAATGAGAGTTAAAAGTTTGATTGCTTGTGTTAGTAAAATATTGGAAAACTTGAAACCAATTTGTTTTTCTTGATGACAAGTAGAACAATTATGATGTTTTACAAAAAAAGAGGATATGCTTATAACTAGCTTTTAAAAATTCATGAATGATAGACTTCTAAAATTTATATATCCTAATCTTTGTATTATAGTTATGATAAGTTTGTTATATTATTACTCAAGCTATTTAATTCTAGTGTTTTATTTTGTGGATGATTAGGTGTATTAAATAAGGTGAAATTTTAGTCAAGATATTTTAACTTATAGAGTCCATTGGCTTATTTACATGAGCCTTTGGCTACTTTTCTATGTGACTTTTGAATAGATATGATACTATATTTTGTAGGACTAAAGATGGCAAAGATTTCTTAAGTCAATGGTTTAACCAATTGACAGTATGTTTCTATACAGACCAAGAATGTGGCAAACATCTTTTAGGGATTTTATTTCTCCATTAGATAAGAAT